TAATAAATTTTCATATAAAATTGATGTAATAAATCTTCGCGAAAAAATTATTCAATATTTATTTCACCCCCCTGTATGTCTTGAACGAGTTGATTTGCTAACTAATTTGCTTTTTTTATTTGACTCTTGAAGATACCAAATACAGGTGTATAAAACTTATTTGTTCATATTTAAATAAATTATTTAAAAGAATCTTAATTTTTAAAAAATGCCACATTTACCAGCAAAAGAGTAATTTAATTCAATCATAATTATTACATAATATTTATATTAATTTTATAGTACAAAGTATATTAAAAATAAATATTAATAAAACTTTATATAAACTTTTTAGCTTATAAATTTCAATGAATATTAAATAAATTATATAAATTTATCTTGTTGTAAACTTATTCAAATATTACTAAATATATATTTTATTATAAATGTTATACTTTCGCAAATACTATTAAATGTTATTAAATTTCTTATATTTTATTATAATATGAATTTTACTTATTTTTATATAAATACGATAACTAAAACTTTTTTGTAAACATTCAACTCTTCTTTGTTTTTTTTTTAAAAAAATTTAAAATTAAAATATTACAAAGTACTTTAATTAATATTAATAAACTTACTTGTAAAAAATGATAATAACTTTTTCTTTATTAATGCGGATTCATCTCTTCACAATGTAATAAATTCTGAAAAACGTCTTTTATTTTCAATTCCAGATGCATGAAGTACTATGAATGATATTATCAATGAATAGGTATATTTTATTTAATTATAAAAACTTTAAAGGTAAACTATTAAAATTACATTACAAATTATATTATTTATTATATTTCGTAACTTGATTTTAATAGAAAATCTCCCATTTTTAAAATTACTTATTATGCAACTTGAAATTAAATAAATATTTATTATTTAATATATTAGTTTACAAAAGGATCTGCAATGAATCCAATTAAAATTTAGGAATATAAAGAATACAAGCAAACTATAAAAGAATTCCAATAGCATGAATTCTTAAAATTTGATAAAAAATAATATTTAAATTTTAGAGAAAGTATATTTATAAAACTGGTTTTTTTCAATTTATTGAAAATTAATTTTTATTATTATTGCAGAGTGATCTCTAAAATTGTGCAGCTTCTAGATTTTCTCATAGTGAATCAATATCCCATTAACAAAAAGAAAAAATTAAAGAAATTATTAAAGATGTAAGTATTTAAAATTTATATTAGCAAAAATAAATAAAATTAATTTTTATTATTATGATATATAGTTTAAAGAAGTAAATACAATATTTCTAATCTCTGAAGCAGATTTTATTTTATATGAATGGCTTGCCTCATATTGTAATAGTACAGGCATATTATCAAATTTTATATTATTTTATTTTTTTTTTTTAAAAAGAAAACTTTTATAATTTTAAAAATTGTATAGTTGACTAAGTGAAAAAATAGGAAATTTCTGAAGCAAAAAAACATAATCTTCTGTTACCATTACCAAAAAGAAAATATTAAACCTCCTAAAAAGCAAAACAAAAATATTTCTATTGAAGTCTTATAAGATACTGAAAGCACTTCAAGTATTATTTTTTACATTACATATAACTTTTATTAGTAATTAATGATATTAATACTATTTTTATTTTATAAAGTAATAATTTCACCTTTATTAGTTTCAAATGTAATAGATTTACCTTTGTCTATTCCAGTTTCAATAGTACCACCTTTACTTATTTCAAATATAGTAAATTTACCCTTATTTGCTCTGGTTGTATCAGTATCACAATCCACTTTAGATGCAGTGGATTTATTCTCATCTATTTCAGATATAGTGATTTCACCTTCACCTACTTCGAATGCAAAAACATCTGCTAGTGCTTTTCAAAGTAAGATAAATGATATTCTTAAATAAATATAATTATTTTACTTATTTCTTTTTATATTTCTGATTTAACAATTTTGTAGATAACGATAAAAAGAGAAAGAAAAAAAAGAAGCAAAAGATCTTCTACAGAACTAATAAAGTTCTACAAGCAACAAAATTTGATAAAAAACTTGGATAGTAAAATTATAGAAATTTTCGTAATTATAATTAAATATTTAACATTTTTATATATCGTACTATTCGGAAAATAAGCATCTTCTAAATTGATTCAGGTCTAAAAATAAGCACCCCTCTTCAAAGTCATAAATCTTTATTTTTTAAAGATTTTACAAATAATTTAATAATAAAATAATAAAATAATAAAATAAAATAGTTAATAAAAATTTCTTGCATTTTTATTATAAAATTTATTACAATTTTTGGTTCTTTACAAATTATTATATGATATTATAACATCTAGTAATGTCAATGCTAACCTGTAAAATTCTATCATAATATAAAAAAAATTGTAATTTATCATTCTACTATTTCTCATTATCCCTTATTATCACTATTATTAATATTATCATTATCAATGATATCATCATTATCAGCAATATCATCATCACTAATAAAATTATCACCAGATTCATCAATGATATCATATTCAGATTCATTACCAATATTATCATTTTATTGATTTTATCATTTTATCCATCTAAAGATAATGATATCTTATAAATTTTAAATGATTCTATAATCATTTCATCTAGAATCCTTTCTCAAGCCTACTTTACACATTCACAAATATTAGATAATTTAATATGATAAAAGTTGCCTGCTGCAGCTAGCTTCTCTTTTTACCATTTATAAATGCCATTTCTTGCGCAAATAATCCTTAAAAGACTTATTAATTATAACATTTAGCAGTTGATATATGCTAGTCAGATTACTGAAAATATTCACTAGATCAAAACCATGATCCCAAAATTTTTTCTTAATAGATTCTTCTAAATGGCCTTTGAATGAATCATATAGAATAATTGCTGAGCTATTATTGATTAGGTTTTTAATATAATCAACATACTTTATCATCAAATTGATATCCATCTATCCACTTTTCTAAAACCAAACAAAAATACCAAATGAAATCTGTTTACTATATGATATTTTTTTCCTTTAAAAATACAAATCAGTGGAAATTTAGTTCTGTTTAAATAATTTTAAAATGTTTAATAAAAAATTTAATTAGATAACTATAATAAATCAGATTATATAGTTTTTAATTAATGCTATTCTTAAAAATGTACCTACCTGTAGCATATGTCAAAATAACTATTGTTAGTGATAATCCGTTTGCGTCACTGAATGACTGCACCAACTAATATCACTAATGATCACCAGGAAAATCGTGATCATCATTTTCACTGCTATCATGGTTATCGTTGTGATATTTATTTTTTTTATTATTATGTTTATCATTATTTTATTTACTATATTTATTTTCATAGTTATATTTACTTTCACTATTATATTTAT